ACACACACACACACACTCATACACTCACACACACAGTGTGTGCTATACATGAACACAATATAAACCTATATATGTGTCATTTACACAAATAGGCCTATGTCAGTAGGCATACATGTGTGTATTGTCTCTAATCCTAATTTCAGGTATACTAATGGGAGCAGGAGATGTCATATCACAGTTTGCTGTTGAAAAAAAATCTGCGAGTCAGTATGAATGGCAACGTACAGTTCGCTTCTTAGGCCTTGGCACTTTCTTTGTGGTGAGTTGTTTCTTTGGTTGACTGATGATTTATTTTATATTTGTCTTGTCTTTTATTCCCCGTGAACTGCTGATATTCAGTGTAAAGCCAAGGATTTATTATTGTGGTTTAAACAAGACTTTTTTCTCTCTCTCTCTCTCTCTCTCTCTCTCTCTCTCTCTCTCTCTCTCTCTCTCTCTCTCTCTCTCTCTCTCTCTCTCTCTCATTATTTTCATTAAAACAATTAAAAGGAAAAAAATAGCAAATAAATGCCAGTGTATCAAGTCTCGGAAAAACAAACAAACTGGCACCTTAGTTTGGACATAGACCTAGGAATTTGAGTTTTACATAACTATAAGCATAATGACACATATACACTAATCGCTTCCTCTTTAATTCTAGGGTCCGACATTGAAGGTCTGGTATGGCATACTAGATCGCAGAATTGGTTCAGGATCAGCTGTGAAAGCCTTGAAGAAAGTGGCTTTTGATCAGGGCATCTTCGCTCCTTGCTTCCTGGGGTCGTTCCTGACTGTACTGGGAGTCACGCAGGGGAATAGTCCGCAGAAGATAAAGGAAGAGATTAAGAATAACTATGTGGATATTATATTGACTAACTGGACTGTAAGGAGATCTTTAATATTTTTTTTCTTTGTTTATATTTCATTATTCTTATCTTGTTGTTTCTGAAGCAGTATTTTATGGCATACAATGATAATCTTAGATTGTAATTAGTTTCTTTCAGCATTTCATTTTTATGAACCTCTTATTTAGCAGTCTATATACATATGATAAGTAATACTAGCCTTGATTTATTGATGTTTCAGGTTTGGCCAGCTGTGCAGATCTGCAACTTTGCCTTCGTCCCTTTGCAACACCAAGTTCTTATTGTGCAGATATTTGCACTCTTCTGGAACACTTATTTAGCCTGGAAGACGAATACAGGAGCAAAAGAGCAGATCAAGTTATCAGAGGATTGATTTTTAGTTTAACATAAAGTCATGAACTAGAAATGTCAAATGTCCATTTAGAGAAGTTGTTTTATTTTTTGAAGTGTATCAAAATATAGTAATAACAATATCAATTTTTAAACTAATTTGCTTAGCGCTTATTGTTTTGTTTGATGATGTGTACACAATATACTTTTTAATATATAAAGATAAGATGATTTTTGAAACTGCTCAAATATTCAGGGAAAATTCACCTTAGTATAATAAGGCATTAATCCATATGTGCTCTCTGTCAAGTGCCATATTTCATTAAATGTTTATGGTGTTCTCTTACCTGGTATCTTCTATGTTATATCCATCCATATGTTAATTTCTCAGTCGCCAAAGAATTGTTACATCACAGTTAATTTTTTATCCAGAATATTTATGTGTTGCTAGACATAAATGGAGTAAGAAAAATTGTCACAAGAGTAATATCTGTTGGGTCGTAGATGCTGTTGTGTCACATTTCATATTGTGTGGGTCTAGTCCTTGTTTTGCTCAGTGTAGAAGGTGGTAAAGGTTGTCTTTGTTATTGCAGGATTGTGTGTGTTAATTTAGGCTGCTATTCTGTGTCTTCTGTGTTGGGTTCAAGAAATGAATTGCGTAAGTTTATTTCCAGTATGCATTTGTTAGTGATTTTTTGTTATTTTTATATCTTTTGTGTGTGTAAGATTAACACATTTTGTGATGAATGAATTTGTTGTAAAAAAGGAATTTACATGAAGTATATGGAGAATATATATTTTTCTTGTAAATTATAAAACACATCTCTGCATTTTTAATTATCCCAACTGCAGTAATGTGCTAATGTTTATAAAGATGTTGATGATGAACAAATAGATAATTTTGTGCATGGCCATAGCAGGAATGTTTCTGATCTGTAAATAAAGCTGTTTATTAGTGATTATTAATCTAGTGTATAGTTAGTCTAATATTTTTATAGATTAGTATAATATGATAAATTTCTATAGACTTATTGTAGCAAAATTCAGAAATCAACATGCGGAAATTCATTAAAGGAAGATCAGTGATTTGATGTCAGTCGGTTAGGCCTTTTCCTATCAGCCACTTCCCTGGTTTTAGGAATAATGAATAACTGATAAAAAGAAAATGGATCTAGCACAATGAAATTTTAAGTTTGTAATAGCCTCAGAAAAGTCAAACCATTAAAAGTGAATGCTATTAGCTCAAGAGCAGGAAATCAAATGCAGTAGTTTTATATGCATTTCCAAAAGTGAAATAGCTTTAGTTCATTCAAAAAAAAGTGAAAAACAAACTTGGGAGGCTGATTTAAAGATCATGTGATACTCTTCCCTAGTTGCAGAGAGTTTAGAAATTACAACATTCTTTCCTAGGGTTTTATACATTAAGTGCTTAGAAAATGCAATTTTGATATGAGGCAATCATTGCTAACTCTTTCACAGTCTTAAAAAATTGTATAATATAAAAGGCTTATGCTACATACAAAGCAAAATACCCATACTTTAGTTTCTGAAGATGTTTAAAAAGTATGTTAGATTGAGCCAGACTAGATAAGATACTGGATGATGCTAACAAAATGAAAGATAAAAATAAGGAGTGATGGCAAGAAAACATGACAGAAAAAAAAGAATTGTTAAAAAAAGGAGAGAGAAAAGATTTATGAGATCTGTTGATTTCGGGTTTGCATATTTTATTTTTGTAATGGCTTCATTGTTGGTACATGTAACGATATACTCCAGGAAGGGAAATCTATATTCTGACTAATTACAAAGCACCAATATTATTTTCTTATGAATTCACAATGTAGAGCATATCTTGTCCATTGCTGTATTGAGTTTAGATCACTGAGTTTGTCTCAGATAAGATAAACGAGGCATTAAAGGCAAGCACAGAAAAAAAGAAAAATAATGTATTCTGAAATCTATGACTTTTATAGAAAGTATAATAAACTCACTGTTAATACTATATGTGTTACTAGTCCTTGTTTTAAATAAAAGATTTGATTAACAAGGAAATATGTGAAACTCAATAGCAGAGAGAGAAAGAGAGAGAGAGAGAAAGAAAGAGAAAGAGATAGGACAAAAGATAGAAGTGGATTACAAGGAGGTACTGTAGAAGTAAGAGAGATTTCCTTTACATTTTTTCAACACTCATTCCTTTTTGCCTAAATTTCCTTTTATTATAAAAGAACCCATTTCTAAAATGTTTAATATTAACAACATTCTCATTCTACATTTTGCCATTTTCTAAGGACAAATATCCCTCATAACCATTCCAACTTGTTAAAATTCTCAATTTAGAATTCCTAAAATAAAATATCACTTTTCTATCTAAATGTCATTTTTTCCAGGAATCCAATTAAAAAATCTTTTTCATCTTTTTCATTTCCCGTATTGAAAAATTCCTCTCCCCTGAAAATATTCCCATTCTCATCCTACTGCTGATATTTAAATCCCCCATGTTTAAAATTCCTGCTCTTTCACTGCAGCAAAAATCCCCTACATATATAACAGTCTGCCTATTTACCCCGGCAAAAAGCCCCCTATATATAAAAGTCTGCTCATTTACCCCAGAAAAAATCCCCCCCCCCCAATGTTCAAAAGTACCAGCCATCTTACCAGCAAACTCCCCCTATATTTAAAAGTCCCATCATTCCATTCTCAGCAAAATCCACCCACATTTATAAGTCCCACCTTTTCACCCTAGAAAAATTCCCCCATTTTCAAAATTACAGCTTTTTCACTCTAGCAACCCCCCCCCCCCCATATTTAAGGTCCTTTTCTTTCATTCCAACAGAATTTCCCCTAAAATAAAAACTCCTGTATTTTCACCCCAGAAAAAAAACTATCTAAAGGTTCCACCCTTTCACCCTTGCAAAATTCGATCTTTCATCCCAGCAATAATAATTTTTTTTTTTTTATTTAAAACCCCCAGCCTTTCACCCCTCCCCATCAAGGTCTATATTAGTATATAGATCTAGCTCCCCATTTTCAAAACTTTTCACCCAAGCAAAAATCGTCCACCATATTTAAAGATCCCACCCCTTCACCCAAGCAAAAATCCACCCCACCCCCTTTATTTAAAACCCTGTCCTTTCACCCCAGCAACACCCCCCCCCCCCCCCACACTGCATATTTAAAACTCCGTCTCCAGCAAAAAAAAAAAAAAAATCCCCATATTTAAAAGTCCTGCCCTTTCACCCCAGCTAAATCCCCTCCCCACCCCTCTCACATTTAAAACCCCGTCCTTTCACCCCAGCAAAAATTTCCCTCCACCCTTTTTTTAAAACCCCATCCTTTCACCCCAGCAACCTCCCCCCCTTCTTATTTAAAGCAACCCCCCCATATTTAAAACCCCATCCTTTCACCCCAACAACCCTCACCCATCCTATTTAAAAAACCCCATCCTTTCACACTAGCAACCTCCCCCCTCCCATATTTAAAACCCCATCCTTTCAACCCCCCCCCCCATCCTATTTAAAAACCCCATCCTCTCACCGTAGCAACCTCCCCCCTCCCCTATTTAAAGCCCCATCCTTTCACCCTAGCACCCCCACCATATTTAAACCCTCCCCCCTATTTAAAACCCCATCCTTTCACCCTTCCCCCCTCCCCCCTATATTTAAAATCCCATCCGTCCCCCCTCCCCCATGTTTAAAAGTCCCGCCCTATCCCCCCCTCTAGCACCCACCACCTCCCTACTTCCCCTCCTGACCAACAGATGGCAGCACCGGCGTTTCCCGCGCTTTTCGTTGTCTTTTCGCGCCAAAAACTCAGAGTGCGCGCGGACGAGGCGGAGGAAGGACGCAAGGACTCGAGAGGCAGTTTCTTTTGTGATTCTTTTTTGGAAATCGAGGTGAAATGGCCGCCGCTACGGACGTCGTGATCGATCAGCGCATTCGGGACATTCAGAGAGAGTACTTGGAGTTTTTGGAAGATGATGTGAGTGGGATTTTTGAGGTTGTTTTATGGGCGTCGGGAGGGAAGCGGGTTTTTGGTTGTTGTTTATCTCGGGTTTTATCGCGATTTCTCCTTTCTCCTGTGTTTATTCGTTATTTTATGTGCGCTTTTTCACGGATGACGTTGTTAATTATGATTCTCGGTGGATTTTGAGGCGGGATTTTAGTTAAATATATGTAAATAAGGGAGAAAACACGGTGTCTTTCTAAGCGGGAAATTCAGAACAAAAGGTTTTAATTACTTGATTTTTATTAAATAACCTTTTAATTTATACGTAATTTTTCTTTAGTATTTGACAGTTTAATGATGTGTTATTCCTTTTTTGTTTGAGGATTCCATGATAAATCCTGGAATACATTTTTGAAGGATTTTTGTAGCTTTTCCCCCCCCCCCAATGATCGAGGAATTTACGTAGGTTTGTTGTGATAATTTGGTGACTAAAGAATATGCATCATGTCCTCCCTCTTACAGGAAGACTCCGGCGTGTACACTCAGCTGGTGCGCGACATGGTGGCCAATGGGGACTGCCGCTTGAACGTCAACATCAACGACCTGCGCAAGAAGAACCCCCAGCGTGCCTCAGGGTGGGTGTCTGGGGGGGGGGGCTGAAGGGGGGGTGTATGAAGTCTGAATTTGTGTGTAGTTGATTTTTTTTGTTTTGATTTCTGATTCGTAGTTTTCTTTCCTGGGTTGTTGTGTGTGTGTGTTTGTGTTTGTATTAATGTGCGTGTGATTGTCACTAAATGAATTTTTTAGAGGTATTGTTTGTTTTAGAGATTGATTGTTGGGTATTGGTTTGATTGCCTGTATCATGTAGATTCAGATGAGTTGTTAAAGTGTGTCATGTGTTATGATGCTGTTAGATGACTTTAAATACTCTTTAGGCCAAAAAATGGTGGATGCAAAATAAGCATGAATATTTGCTGGCAATATCGACTTGTCTGGTAACAGGTTTAGGTAGAATTAGAAGTTCATTGACTATGTGTGTATATTATGTTAAGCTTCATTATTTCATGTATTTTCTCTCTTCATTTAACTAATTATGCCTTAACCTCACCTGTCCTTCATCCCTCCAGCCTCTTGAGCTCTGCCTTCGAGGAACTGCCAGCATTCCACCGGGCATTAAAGGAATTTGTGGCCGCAGTCGACACCAACTATGCCAAGACCACAGAGGAGTTGTTTGTGGGTTTCGAGGGCAGTTTCGGCAGCAAGCATGTGTCTCCGAGGACGCTCAACACCAGGAACCTTGGCAATTTGGTGTGCGTCGAAGGCATTGTGACCAAATGTAAGGGAGTTACCTTTTTCCTTTTTGTTCATCTGTTTTTCTGTTTTTTCCTAGATTCACTGCCCCTTTTTTTCCTTCCTTTATTATTCTTCCTCCTCCCTTCTTTTCATCCTTTTCTTCCTTTCTTCCCCTTCTATTTATTTCCTTTATTAATTCTACTGTTTTAAATATTACTTTATAGAAAGAATCATCATGCTGGTGGTATCCACATTTATTTATGTCCCATATGGATTTTGGGGAGTCTCCTGTCAATAAAGGTGCAAATCGTATTAATACTAAACTTTGTGTCTCTCTCTGCATCAATTTGTGAGAAAGGAGGGAAACTATTTTTTATTTACCTTCTTATTTGCCTAATTCACTCATAATGTCTATAATCTTCCACCAGGTTCCCTTGTGAGGCCAAAGGTAGTGAGGTCTGTCCATTATTGCCCAACCACCAAGAAAACTTTGGAGCGAAGATACACAGACATGACTTCTTACGACCCTTATCCATCCACTGCCATCTATCCTACCAAGGATGATGACGGTAAGGATACGGATTTTGTTTTGAGGATCTGAGATTTCTCATGTTATGGTGCCATGTAACTTCATTTAGTCCGATTGTGTTAGGTTTTGAGTTTGTTAGTTTGTCATATATCATAATTGATAATTCATCTTTCAATTGCAATGGGTTTCTTAATTTTCCTTAATGATTTGCAGGAAACCTTTTGGAAACTGAGTATGGGTTGTGCGTATATAAGGATCATCAGACCATAACCATTCAGGAGATGCCTGAGAAGTCTCCTGCTGGTCAACTGCCTCGCTCTGTTGACATCGTTCTTGACAATGACCTGGTTGACAAGTGTAAACCTGGAGACAGGGTTCAGGTTGGTAGATAAGCTTCGGAATGTTTGTTTGTTTCTGTTATACAGTAGTGAGATGATGAAATTTTATCCTCCATTTCATTTGGTTTCTTTATATGCCTGAAGCTTGCAATTTTCATTTGAGGTAGGTAAGGTAACACTAAAATTTTACTCTTCAAGAAACCATCAATTGACTCTCAATCATAAATACTATTTGGCTAATAAATTCTCCATTTTCTTTTAAATTAGATTGTTGGCATCTATCGCTGTCTGCCCAACAAGCAGGGAGGTTTCACCAGTGGCACATTCCGTACCATCCTCATTGCCAACAACATAATCCTTATGAACAAGGAAGTGTCTCCCCACATCTCAACAGACGATGTCTACAAGTGCAAGAAATTCTCCAAGCAGAAAGTAAGTAACTTGAGTTTAATGTGGAAAAATTGCTTCTGTTTTAGAAGATGTTGATCAAATATTTTTGAATAACCCCATTATACCATCCACTCAGCTGTACTTGATATTTTCCAGGGACTTGATGTATTTGAGTTGCTCTCGAAGTCCCTTGCTCCCAGTATCCATGGTCATGAGTACATTAAGAAGGCTCTCCTCTGCATGTTGCTTGGGGGTGTGGAGAAGGTGCTGCCCAACGGAACAAGGCTCAGGGGGTAAGTTCCTTTGTAGTTAGTATAGATTTCTTGCTTTTTTTCACTTTGTAATTTAGTAAAGTATAGTAAACTGTCTAGAGATAAGGGATATTCAGCTACCATCAAACTTAAAGATTGGAAGTAACTGTAAAGCTTCACTGTACTAATGTTAAGACATTATTAGTATTTTCTTTTATGCCACTTGATTTCCTGCAAATCATTAGACTACCATTTATTCTAAATAGCAAATTATCCCAAGTGGTATGATAACTCCAGTATTGAAGACTCTTGATTTTGATTATATTTTTGCTTAATTGTTGATGCAATTCCCTTCATTTTTGTGAAATTTTTCTTTCTTGATAATAAGTAAAGCAGCCTTTCAATGAATATATATTATATTTAACCATAGATAGTTTATATAGTATTACTTTTAAATGTATATGCTTTGACACTTTTACTTCAGTACGAAAGTCTGTAAAACACAATCAGTTTATGCTTTTGTTTGCTATTCCACAGTGATATCAACGTTTTGTTGATTGGTGACCCTTCAGTGGCCAAGTCCCAGCTCCTCCGATATGTACTGCACACTGCTCCTCGTGCTATCACAACAACTGGTCGTGGGTCCTCAGGTGTAGGTCTCACTGCTGCTGTCACCACTGATAATGAAACTGGAGAAAGAAGGTAAAGTAACCTTATTATTATATGGTTTCATTAGTTTTCAGATAAAATGCATTTTGCTAAGGCCAGCTGTCTTTCACTGTAGTTTTCACAAAATTCTTAAAGCTTATATATGCTCTTCTGATTTTCACAGATTGGAGGCTGGTGCTATGGTCTTAGCTGACAGGGGCATTGTCTGTATTGACGAGTTTGACAAGATGAGTGACATGGACAGAACAGCCATCCACGAAGTCATGGAACAGGGAAGAGTTACCATCTCAAAGGCTGGTATTCATGCTCGTCTGAATGCCAGGTGCTCGGTCCTTGCTGCTGCCAACCCAGTGTATGGTCGATACGATCAGTACAAGACTCCCATGGAGAACATTGGGTTGCAGGATTCTCTCCTGTCACGTTTTGATTGTCTGTTTATCATGCTGGATATTGCTGACCCTGAGAGTGACCGCAAGATTTCTGACCATGTGGTGCGCATGCATCGTTACAGGTATGCCGTTGTATGTGTATTGTACATCTTGTACATGGAACAGGATTGAAAATGCATACTCATAGAATGTGAATAGAATATTTAAATTTCAGATATTGTAGAGTAATTTTACTTTCCTTTACCTTTGTTATATTTATGGAAATTTTGATCGACAGAGCTGCACATGAGCAGGATGGTGAAGCTCTGCCCATGGGTCTTGGTGTGGATATGCTGTCAACTCAGAATCCAGATGAAGCAGAGGATGAGGGAGTTGACACACCCATCTATGAAAAATATGATGCTCTCCTCCATGGCAGCCTGCGATCCAAGAAGTAAGTTTCATTTATCTATGAATTCTTAGATCTTGATCGAGGTGTCTCAATGGATAATTCACATGCTAACCCTTGTGCTAAAAATAGGCTCTAACAATGACATATCTTCAAGGGACAAGATTGTAAGCATGAAGTTCATGAGAAAGTACATCCACATCGCCAAGAGCATCAAGCCAACACTGAGCAAAGAAGCATCTGAGGTCATTGCCGAGGAGTATTCTCGCCTGCGTTCCCAAGACACAGAACACACAGACATGGCAAGAGTAAGTTACTTGACTTGGTTAATGTGTCACAGGTTTTCTTGAGGATACGAAGACTATAATGGACATGAAGTATAAGTTTATCGTTTATCTTGTTTGGTATTTCTTTTAAGTAATATTTTGTTAATGCTTTCATCAGACTCAACCGGTAACTGCTCGAGCTTTGGAAACTCTGATCCGTCTGTCAACTGCTCATGCCAAGGCCAGGCTGTCTCGTGTTGTGGAAGTAGAAGATGCAGAATCTGCAATTGAAATGGTATCCTATGCCTACTTCAAGAAGGTCAGTAGTTCAGTTTGTTTTGGAGAATCATTGTTTTGTGTATGAAGCATATTTTGATTATATACAGTGTCCTATTTGCTGTATATAACATGGAAAATGCATTTAAAAAAGTGTTTGTATGTTTAGCTCATACTCTTTGCAAATTCCCTTTAGGTTATGGAGAAGAAGAAGCGCAAGAAGGATGATGAAGAGAGTGCAACAGAGACAGAAGGAGAAGAGGAGGAAGAGGAGGGAGGAAAGAAGAGGAAGAGGAAGCCCACTGGTGATCAGCCAAAGAGGTCCAAGAAGGCAAAGAAGCAGCCTGGTGAAGAGGGTATGTAGACTTTGAATTAGTGAAATATACTGTGGAAAAATATAAGTGGAACTAAATGTTTTAAGATTAGGTCCAGAAATTAACTGTATAGTCTATATATATGATTAAATTCTGTATTAAAATATTTGTGTAATGATGTCATAACTTATCAATGTATCATGGGGCAAAGTAATTAGAATTCCCTTTCTGTAGTGACACAAGATCCATACTAACCATGTTCTTTGTTTTTCAGGATATGACCCATATGACATTGACAGCGCAGAAGAGGAGGATCCCATGTCCCCAACGCCAGCAACAGTACGAAGCACAGTCAGCCGCTCATCTCGAACCATGGACGAGACTAGCGTTAGTTCAGCACCCAAGGAAATTGCTGCTGATAGACTGACAGCGTTTAAGGCCTCTCTGACAAAGTTGTTTAAGGAGGTATGTTGTGTAGTTAGTGATGATTATTCATATTTATCAAAGGATGATTCGTTAATTGGGAAAATGGTAATTACCTTGGCTTGATATTAGAAATCATCACTCTTGATTTTCTGCTTTTTATTTATTGAAAATCTTCTTTGCCCCACACAGGACCGAGCCCAGACCCTCTCCATGTCGAGACTAAAGGAATTCATGGCTAAAGAGCATGCATCCAGTCCATTCAGTCAAGATGAGATTGATGCTGCCCTAGAGAAGATGTCCGATGCCAACCAGATCATGGCTGCTGACGAGATGATCTTCCTAATTTAAGTCCTTTACCTCTTCCAGTGACAAAGTACCTAGGAGTAGTTCAGGACTATGTGATAAGGTTGAAATATGTGATTAGTTTTGGAAATTGTTATTATATTGCCTTTCTGTTATTCCTCTTATTTCTGTTCCTGTAAACTTTTTCCTAGCTTTGTTAAAGAAGTTGGTATGCTGGCTAGTGCTCATGGCACAAAAAAAGCACTGCACTGGCCCTTACCATCTAAACTTTTATGTTCATAGGCAAAACGTGTAAATATATATTTTTACCCCATTTTATACCAGTGATAAAGAAAGCAAGCTGAAATTCAGTTAGACAAATCTCAATAAACATGTAATCTGTATTTTCATAAACTTTCAAAAAGAGATTGTTGTTTTTTAATTCAGACAAAGCCCTTGGGGAACAAAAAGCTATGCCTACAGTCTGGAAATACCTTTACTAATTGTTTAAAAATGAGCTGAGATATAAATCTGCTCTGAAATACAGTAGCTCTGAAAATAGATACTCCACACGCCACTAGAGATAATCTCATCTTTTCTGTAGAAGATACCAACCACATTTAATGAGATTCTGAACTATGTACTGTATTGAGAAGGATTGTCTATTCCCAGTTAACTAGAAAAGCAAAATCAGATCCAGTTCAATTTTTTTTTCAGTCAATACACTTGGATCTCTCCCACTCTTCCCCCTCTCTCTCTCTCTCCTCTTTCATCTCCCTTTCTCCTCTCCTCCCCCTATGTATTGTACTGAGAAGGATTGTTTATTCCCAGTTAACTAAAAAAGCAAAAACAGATCCAGTTCAGTGTTTTTTTTTCTATTTTCAGTCAATACACTGGATCTCTCCCACTCCCCCCTCTCTCCTCTCTTTCATCTACCTTTTCTCCTCTCTCCTCTCTTTCATCTCCCTTTCTCCTCTCTCCTCCCCCAATCCGTTGCTCGTTGTTGTGGGGGGCTTAGGAGATAGAGACAAGCCCAGTGTAAGGGTTTACCCCTACCTTGGACCTTAGCCCTTCCCTCAACTAATTTTGCTGGGTCTTTCCTTCCTCTCTCCTTTTTTCTTTTCTTCATCTTCTATCCATTAATCCAAATTGTTAATTCATAATTACCCTTTTCAGTGTACCATAATGTCTGGTACATTCGTTTGTTTTCACCATTGACCATTCTGGAAATCCACAAACAATGCCTTCCTGAACCAAAAAGCTTTCCTACATGGGGTGGGGGGGCCACCAAATAACTATGTATTGTGTATGCCACTAATGACCTTAGATATTGATGTGGCAGAAAAATTTCAACTAATTTTGTATGGTCTTTTCCTCTCCATTTTCTTTTCCTTCTCTCCTTCATCCCCTTCTGTCCGCTTATCTTAATTGTCAACTTGTTTTTACCCTTAATACTTCATGATAATGCCATATGACTTTGATGTCAAGAACATTTGTTTTAACCATTAAACATTCTGGAAATTCACAAACACCACCTTATAAACCAAAAAAACTTCATTATCCAGAGGCTTTACCCCAAGCCCTACCCTATTGCTATATTTTGAATACCTTAGACTCTCTGACTCTCTGCCCATCTCTTTTC